CACCGAGTTCAAAGGAGTCTTTAATACAATGAGGCGTCAGAGCTTTACGAATAGGATCCAAAATATCGACCAACCATCGGGCCACTTTGTGATATGATGAGTTCTGCATGCATAAGATTGGTCTGAGTGGGGCGCCGGCCTTGTGAATTTTGGGTGAGCCTCTCGTCTGGGGTGTCTCTGTTCCCAGCGGCTTCAAATTTTTGTATTGAGCTTCGGTGATGTAACCGTGTGATAACAGAATCTGAAGCTTTCGGGTAATCATTTTTTTCCGTAGGAGTGTTGTTATCAGGTGTGTTGTCCAATTTGGATTTGCTCCCATCGGACAATATTTGGTTCATTTTTGATTTATAGCTTTCATAATAACCACCCCAGAGCCCTTTTCGGGTTTGAGAAATTTTGGTTCGGACATCGTCCGCAATTCTTGTATGGCTTTATAGTGTTCTGCTTTGAGACAAGTTTGTTGTCTTATAGGGGCAGAAAGGAAGGTGTGCGAAATATCCACCATTTTAGCATGAAGCCAACCAGCATTATCAACCGAGATTGCAGAAAGATCTTTAAATTGGTCAAACAGGTTTTCGAATTCAACTTTTGTTTGAATCTCGTTCACCTTCTTTTGGGGAATCTTGGAGTTCAAACTAAGTGACAGTACGTCAAGTTGTGGTTTTATGAAGACAGTGCCGGAAAGATTGTGAATACGTCCACTTGTGCTATTTGAAACGGGAACTGCGTTATGAGGTCGACATAGGGAGCTTGTCAGTTTTGCTAGTGTTCTTGCTTTCGTTTTCGAAATCGTCATTCGTGAGAAGTTCTCATACTTGATGCGACAAAATAAATTGAGTTCACGTAGAAGAACAGCAAAACGTTGTTGTGTCTCGATGAACTTGTTCATTTGAGAAATCGTAGTTTCCAGATGGAAATTGGTGATTCTAACTAAGTTGACTGTGTTGACTTCCAACTTCTCTTTCAAGAGTAATTTTGANGGAAATTCACACGAACGAATACATCCCCGATAAAATTCTACCTTTGTCCGTTCCACTGCAGTTTTACAACGCAAGGTCAGCAAACGGTCCAACCCTCTCGTAGTAGATTCGGGGAGCCATCTTTTTGGAAAATTGAAACATTGGGTCTCCTTTATCCAATTCGTTAGAACATAGAGAAGACAAATTTGTCTTCTATTTGTATTCTTTGTATTTGGGGACCCAATGTTTCAAGTTTCTAAAAAGACGACCCCTAATCCACTACGAGAGGGTTGGACCGTTTGCTAACCTTGCGTTGTAAAACTGCAGTTGAACGGACAAAGGTAGAATTTTATCGGGGATGTATTCGTTCTTGTAAATTTCCGATGCGGTTCTCAAAATTACTCTTAGAATAGTCATAGGCTTAGAGTTTTAAGCGTTCGTGGTCGTCCACTGGAACAAATGATCGACCTCCATGGATTATGTTGGTTGGGGCATGTGTTAGACATGTCACCAGATAGGCTGCCGGGTCGAGTGATGTTTGCCAAGGCTGGTAGCGGTTGGAAAAACAGCAAGGGTGGTCAAACTGAGACCTGGCATGAGAGTATGAGAATCCTAACCAGGAGACTAGGTCACATAGACCCCGTTTGGCTCCCTTGCTGGTGACCTCGGAATGATGGTCACCGATGGTTAGAGACACTGAGTGATGTAGCTGGGTGTCGTGAACAGTAGCTCTCCTGCATCCACTCATTATTCCCCTATAAATGTTTACAACAATGGCAAGTGTTTTTGTCTACCTCTACCGAGCAATCAGACTAGGGAGTCACTCGCGCATTTCGGGAACCATAAGAAGTCTTATCGACGGGCCGCTAAACCGGATAGATTTGTAGTGACCATGATTGTACGAAGAAAAAGAGCAATCCACGAGGACGTCTTCCGTTCATATTTTCTTCACAATCAACTCTAACTCGAACTGTGATATTTTCTTTGTTTTACTTCTGTTTGTTTTACTGAGCACGGTTTTCCGCTCAGACGTATATATAAGCTGGGTCCTGTTCAAACCCACGCGACACGTGTGACACGCTATCGCTCTGCTACTGCATTTGTTGCTTGCACTGTTTAGCGTCACCTTGGCACGTTTCGGTACTATCTAGTACCACGATTCGCCAATAAACGTCTACGACTCCCACGAGTGTTTTTGTCTATTTCGGGCAACGAGAGACTAGGAGGTCGCGCGATACTGAGACCCGTAAGAAGACATACCGGAAGGCCGTCAACATCCGGTTAGATTCAGATTCATTCGGGAACACGATCATTCGTATTGACGAGGCACGTCTACGTGCGTTCACATTTTATTTTCTTGGTTCATTTCGTTGCACGATCTAGCTCACTTATCACAAATGCATTATGATGGTGAAACTTGGACCCATAGATGACGGGTATGTGAATCTACTGATCGTATATATTTTAAGCCGGTAGCTTTCTTCCTTCATGATCCTGCGGTTTGGTTCGCTGCATTCGAAATGCAATTTGTGGCGCACAA